ATCTCGGTAGATCTGCTTGCAGTAGATGCGTGAATTCAGGCAGGGTAAGTACCGTATGACGATCAGATCATTATCATTTCCTTCTGTATCTTCTTTCTATTCTTTCATTATAATGATTCTGTTGTTACAGACTCGATGTGGAGTCATTTTATCATTTCCTTCTGTATCTTCTTTCTATTCTTTCATTATAATGATTCTGTTGTTACAGACTCGATGTGGATCCTGCAGTGGCATGGGTCGAACTTCCTCCGATCAGCGCTGTATTATGTGTCAGGGCTCTGGCATGATTAGGTATGAAGTCAACCCTCTGATTAGAAAACTCTGTATAGCTTGATTTATTTAATATAATTTCATTAATATTTAATTTGAGAAATTTCGGATTTGTTTTTATTATTATTATTATTAGCAAAATTTAAATTTCATCAAAAATAGAAAAAGCAAAAATTGTTCTATAATGCAGGATGTTTTCAAGCTTTTTTTATTGGAGGAGATGTTTTAAGTGATGATAATTATCCAAATACTTTACAGTTGGGTTTAAATGTAAGTTACCTTGCTGTGCGAACATTGTATTTAACCATCTTCAAGTCATAATCTAGCTGCTTATTATTGCCGGAAACATAGTGAAAAAGAGCCTTGGCCAAAATATTGCATGTCCGGAAAAAACACAAGAAATAAGGATGCTAAAAGCCAGAAATGTTTGGTGTAAGAACAGAAATAAAATATGTGAGAGAAAGCGTCTTCCTCCTTTTGGCAAAATTGACTTAAATATTTACTATAAAGTCAATAATGATGAATAATTTTTAAGTGCACTTCTTTTGTTTTATTATTAAACAAAAATGTGTTGGGCATTATCCATACCTTCTGAAAATTAACATTCAGATAGGGTGCTTTAATAATTAACTTGCTACTATAGCAATGATGACATTCCTCAAAAATTAATTTGTACATTTAGTATCCAAAATAGACAGCTTTGGTTCTGATGCTAATTTGGTCAATATAGAGTTCCAGTGCAGAAATAAACAATATATTCAATATGCAAATCTGGCGTTACTGTCTTATTTCTTTCTTTATTTTTTAACTTTCATTTTTCTCATAATTCTTTTTATATTTTTTACTCCACTGCGGAAATGGTGTCCCATTAGTCTGTTCTAGCTTGGCAACCACATAGCAACCACCCAGAACATCCCAGCATCGTGGCTGTTGGTTTTGTGCGGGTCAAAACCAGTCACATTTTCCTCAGAAAATGTAAGAATACAGTACTCATTCAATTCTCTGTATTCCAGGTGTCATTCCTGTGGAGGAGTCGGTTCAATCACCTGCAAAACATGCAAAGGGCAAGGAAAGCTCCTCTGCTTCATCAAACTTAAAATTACATGGTGAGAAGACAATGGTTAACACCCATTTTCACAACACAGTTTAACAAGTTCACTGTTTATTCATCTGTTTGTTTGTTTTTCTTCGTTTTATCTTCTCAGGAAGAACAACATGAACGTGGCTGTGATTGACAAGGGTTCGGGATTCCCGGTTGAGCTTCTTGATCAAATTACTGGAGAGAAACTTCTTACTGATATGGCTGCAGTGGTGAGCAGAAACATTGTGGTGCTCTCGATGCCTTGTTATTTAATGGGGTCATAACATGATAAATTTCCTGTTTTTTGAGAAATATGGAAACATATTGAACTCAAAATCAGTCCATAAAGGCCATTTATTGAAACCAAATTTGTTGAAATAGAAACGTGGGCCGCTGTGTAGCACCTACATCTCTGCATTTCTACATGAAATGATGCCAATGTTTCTCAGTAGTCTATTTTTAACAAAATCTCTGATTATTTCAGTCTAAGCAGCATATTTCAAACATACAGACCAGTGAAAGAGTTCAAAACGGTTGCTAATTTCACATGCAAAAAAGCCGTTTCTTAAAGGTGCAGCAGCAAAAATGGCCTGTTTAATTCTAAGGTTAGAAAAGGTTGGAAGTGGTCATAATAAACTAAAATATGTATATTTAATATAATAATATTTTAAAATAAGATGATTTTTTTTTGTAAAATAATATATATATAATATATAAAATATTAAAAAATACGTTTAGCCTTTGTGCTGTGCTGAAAATCCTTTAACTAATTTAAAAATAGCTTGTAAATCTCTCATTATGCTATATTATCACCAAATCTTACATTCAATCTTTTTGTTATTATTTTTATTTGCATTATTATAGAATCAATAAAGCATTATTTGTGGAGGTGTGTAAGCTAAGATCATTAAGGCCTACAATTAATCAGTTCCAAAAACAAATATAAAACAATGCGCTGACTGAAAGAATACAAGTTAATAATTCAATATTTGGTAATAATATAGCATAATGGGAAATTTATAAGCAATTTTTTAGAGGCCAATCATTTTTGACCAGGAACACTACAAATGTAACAAGGTGGGGAAAAAATGGCAAAACATACATACAGTACATATTTTGGGAAATTGTTATACGCCGTGTGAGCAAAGTCAGTAAGGTTTAGTCCAATGTGATAACATTAACTAGCATTTTTGGGAAAAAGAAAATCCGCTCTGGGTCAACATGACTGGAACACAACATGAGGGTTAAGAAAAAAAAAAGTTGCAAAAGATTGTCATTGGAAAAAAATAAAAAAATAAATAAAAACATGATTTGACGCCTAATATGAATGCAACGGTCATTTTACAACACAGCCTTGTTTGTTTGGCAATGACACTGAAGTTTTGACTCATCACTGCAGGTTTATCCAGTTGTCAGCTTCCCAGACAGCTCTGTAAACGCAGCGTCTGAAAGTGCCGTGAGGGAACACCAGGCTCAGTTCGCCACAACTTGCCGTATTCTGCAACAGGTATTAAAACAAATCAAACACTGCCTCTGATGAAACCCCAAAAACCTGCGCTTGTCTCTTTAAGGCCAATTTCTCAGCCTCCCATTCTTGGAGATTGAGGTCTCTGCAGAGCAAAAGTGGGCGTTTCTGAATTTGTGGGTGTTTTCAAACTGCAGGGTGTTTCTCAATCATGCAATCAAAATGATCCCCCTTACCTAACCCCACCATCACTATGACGTCAGCCAATCAGGAAACATGGTCTAAAAACGCCCTGATCTGGAAACTCCCTTTACTTTCCTGCAGAGACCTATACTTGCATTCTTCTGGGAATGAATTAAATGACCTCTTCCTGTTGGCTCAGTCCACCAGATTATAGCTTGTCATAAAGCAGCCTGAATATTCCCATATATTCATACAAACAAGACACAAATGTTGACAAGATTCTAGATAACTTTTAACTATATTAAACAAAAAACTGAACAACAACAACATTAACAAAATAAAAGTCTCATGTCAGATAAAATTCACAGTACATTCTTGAAAAACTCTTTTAAGTGGTTTGGCTTGATCTTTTATTACTATTTCTCTAAAAGTATTAATAGTGAAACTGTTTTAGAAATGTTATATGTAAAGAATAATTGATGAAGAAAATGTTATATTGTATGGAGACAGAGCATGTTCTGACCCTGTGTTTCATTTTCCAGAGGCAGACCATTGAGCTAATTCCCATCACGCGAGTGCATTACGCCTGGAATGAGAAAACCCACATTTATTTTGTATATGGAACCGAACACAAAGTCTACACCAAGGATTATCCTGCCAAATGCTGCTGTTGCTCCATCCTTTAGACTGCTGTATAATGCCTGTGCTGCCGTTGCTGTCTGTTAGACCTGTAAAAGAGTTATATCGTCTTTATATTAATGGTTAAACATCTTTGGCATTATTACAAAGAAACTATAAGAAAATTGAAAAAAGATGGAACGTAGAATTTCTAGATGTACTAGGTAGAGCATATAGAGCATCTGCATTTCACTTTATCTGTATTTTCCAAAATCAAATGAAAAAAAAAAAAAAATTACTGTAAACTTTCAGAATGTTTTATTTTGAGTATGTAATTCTTAAAAGTACAGAAGCATGTTTCCACCACGAGATAAAAAAAAATATTTTGATGTTTTGGAATTTGGAAAACTTTTCACGCAATTTATATTTTTATAGTTTATATCTCACGGTTCTGTCCTTTTTCTTGCAATTTTGAAAAAAAAAAGTCAGAAATTTGATATAGAAAGTCAGAATTGCAAGACATAAACTCGCAATTCTGACTTTTTTTCTTGGTTTTTCCATGTTAACTCGCAATTGCGAGAAATAAACTTGTAATCTTCTGATCTGAGGAACGTTGGAATTCTGAGATATAAAACTGCAATCGTGAGAAAAAATAAAAAGTTGTGAGATAAAAAGTCGCACTTAACTTTTAAATTTTGTATTTTGTGGTGGAAGCGGAAAAATTGAATTGCGAAATGTGAACTGCAATTGCGAGAAAAAAGTCTGAATTTCGAGATAAAAAAGTTGGAGATATATTTTTTATTTTATTTTAAGTGCTATGACAGAAACGAGATTCCATATTTAATCTCATTGGTGATTTCATATTTCATTTTTTTCCCCCTTTGATTTTGGGTAAAATATTATGTTACAGTAGGGCTATATTGTTTCTTTTGTCATACTTTTACAAATTTCACCATGTCTGCTCATAAAGAACATTTATTATGATTGTTGTTGTTCTTAAAGTGGTTACACAGAGACAATTATGACAGTCTATCATGTTCTAAAAAATGTGAAATACATTACATACATTTTTCGGTTAGTTTTGTTGTACAGTAATTGGCATTTCATGTTACACCATAGCTGATACTATACTGTCTATACATTTCCTAGAAAACTCTATTTTTTTTAAAGATTCTACTCACTCTCATGTCATTCCAGAGCAGTACACGTTTGCATGAACGCGTGTAGCTATATTAAAGAATTTTATTTTAGAGTGTACTGTGCCTTTAAGGATTCGTGAGTTGTATCAGGCGCGCTTCATATTATTAAAACCAGACCGCCAGAGCATTATCGTGGGCGTGTCTTCATTGCTGTCCAGTTTTCAGAGTTCAAAACTGAGGAAAAGCTCTCAGTAAACATAAATGCGAAGCGCTGCTGGAGCCAGGATCATTGTGAAACTGACCTCACCAGCATTTTGTGCGTTATGGAAGACAAAGACGAAGATACAGGTGGGTAAATTACTATGTTGAAATATGTGCATATTACAGCTAACGGTCTTTTGCTTGTTTTGTTTTCTTAAAAGTTTTACTTGAAGATTTCATTGCCTAGTTGCAAGAAACACATCTGTAGCATGAAGCAAACACGTAACCTATTAGTGTATCCTACAAAAAGCATGTTTTTATAGGCCTAAATGAAAAATATAATAGTAAATGCAACGTTAACACATAGGCTATAGCCTACAACATTTCAAGTGATTATTTTAATACGTTAAAGTAATAACAATAACATGTTTTTAGAGATTGTAGTTTAGTTTAAATGCTTTGTTCACTTCTGATCTGACACTTGCAAGAATCTGGAAAGATCATTTTCCTTTTGCACAACTTCAAATCAATGTGTTTGGCAACAAAAGCATTCATTCTGTTCGAACAAAACGCATTGCTTAATAAGTCGTTTTGTTAAACATTAAGTCACTAACAGTCACGTTGAGGATCACGTTATATCTTGGCAATTCTCAATTGCGTCTTCAACCACGGGACGTCCCATATTTGGATTCCAAAAAAAAAAAAACAGCGAAAAACGGAAAACACTTGACTAAACCTTTTCAGTAGCCTACTCTAGCCTGATATTAAATATCAGCAGTCTTGCTAACTGCTATGTAATTTAACTCGACAAACACAACTTTCAGTTTTTTTTTAAGAATCTCAGAGTTTCTTTTCTTTTTAGTTGTTCAAAAGTTCGCAGGGTGAATGTCATTAGTTTGCTTTGAATCCTATAATTGCATCATATTTTATGGCACAACAATCAACATTCTATTAATTTCCAGTTTTAGGTGACAAGAAAGAGGAAAGGGATTTTTAATGTGATTCAATAAAACTTCCTTTTCTATTTAGAAATAATTAGCTAAAAGTGTTTCAAATGATGGTGTTTTGAGAGCTAAGCATAATTTCAGAGGGAAATATATGCAGTTCAAATGGGAGAAATGTTGAGTAACATTCATTAACATCTCAGTCATTCAACATTTTGAGGACCCTCATCAAGAACGCACACTTTAAAATACTTTTAAAAAGAGTATTAGTGTTGGGTGTAACACATTACAAGTAATGCGAGTTATGTAATCAGATTACTTTTTTCAAGTTTCAAATACGCAACACCAGTTGTTGACCAATTATTGACTGACAGCTCTCCTGTCCTCATGTTGAGAGAAATCGTAAGTGCAGAAGGCGTTGTGTGCGCTGTGTGAACATGATGTTACTGTAGTTCTAGACTAAATGTGAGCATTTACTCATCTGACTTGCTCAAAAACAGATTCGGTATTCCTCAAAATGAATAAAACCCAAAATCCAAACTCAGAATATGACGCAAACCTGCAATAATTAAATGTTAAATAACACAAATATCCTTTACAGTATGTACTTAATTCCATTTTATTAACCAATGTCTTTGATGCTGACCTTCGATGATCCAATTCAAACATACTAATTAGCAAAAATAAATAAATAAACAAAAAATCAATTTCCTTCAGCCTGAGGCTTATTCATTTCACTTTTGGTGTGAAAAGGCTTTTACATTTGCCAAAAATTTTTTTTCTTTCATTTTTTATTAAAAACAAGCAAGAAAGCCCAGCCCAGATTTGAAAATGTAACGCAAAAGTAACGTTACACATTACTTTCCACAAAAAGTAACTAAGTAACGCAATTAGTTACTTTTTAAGGGAGTAACACAATATTATAATGCGGTACTTTTAAAAGTAACTTTCCCCAACACTGGTATTAATTATGGAATTTAATTTAATGAATATACTTAAGTGTGAACCTAAGGCCCTGTTTACACTAGTGCATTTTCATTTTAAAACAGCGTTTTAAAATTAAAACAATCCTCATCTACACTTGCGTTTTCACTGCATTTCAGAAACGTTCTCCGTCCACAGTACACAACCGAGAACGCATGTCACATGACCATTCATGCAGGTACAACCATAGATATGTATACATAGATGCCTCAAGAAGCCTCATTAGAGACTGTTACTATGGGCCGCTATATGTAAGCCGTCCGCCATGTCAAAGTCCCTTTAAGGCAAGTCATGTCACTCGGTGGCCATCTTTGAAACACCTCTCGGGCATGCAAGTGCAGCTCCTATCACTTTGAATGGGGAAACATCAAATTCTCCAAAACTGTTCACTAAGCTTACGATTAAATTTTATATTTGAAATCACCAATGAAATCTGACAACAACTGTGTCATAAATGTTGTTTCTTTTGTTCAAATAGTGTTATAAAAAGCATATTTTTCAGGCTAGACCAGCCAGTGTGCATGCACAGTCCTGAGCGCACGTCTCCCGCCTTTCTGAAACGCGTCGATTTTTACAAAGCTCATCGGTCTGAAAAGCAAGGTGTGCTGTGATTGGCCAGCTATCCAGTGCGTTATTATTGGCTGAATACTTCAAGCGTGTGACGGAAATGTTACGCCCCTCACCATATTGTGATGATGCCCTGTCCGGCCGGAGCGATGATTCAAAAACATTAAAACCCATTATAAACGAGGCATTCGTTGCATCCAGTGGGGACATAATTATGGATTATAATAACTTTCTTAAAAACTTTAATAATTATAATACTGTCTTTTTACGCGTTGCGTTGCATCACGCCGCGTAAACATAAAACTATGTCTGCATTTGTGATCGGAGAAATGACAAACAACAAGCCCTACTCTACACTGCCCAAAAAACTCGCTTTAAATATAAAAAATATAAAATATAAAAACTCTTTAAATAAGGAAAAATTGAAATCGCATCATATGACCCCTTTAAAAACACAAACCAACACATTCTCACCTGTGAAAGGTTACGTTTCTTCGGGAATTTAAATCCCGGCAGTTTTTACAACCAGAGGCTGTGCAGAATTGTGGCATCTTCGAATATTTATCGATTATTATGGTGAATGACGTCAAGTTGACCGTTAAAGATGGCGGACGCGTCTACGTGCTTGGCGCAGTCGAATGGGGAATCTACCTATACATATCAACAATGTGCATGATGTTATTGTTTACACGGTCGTCAAGGATATGCAGAGCGAATGTGGGCGGCTGCCCCATCATTTTCAAAAGTCTCAGTTTTGGTCCGTTTACACAGAAGCACAACCCCAGAGTTTTCAAACTAAAACGGGGTCTGCAGCGTTTTCGAAAGTTTTTGAGGGTCAAAAACGCCTAAGTAGTGTAAACGACAGGCGTAACCACAGCAAAAATTATGCATTTTAAAACGAAAACGTACTAGTGTAAACGTAGCCTGAATGTAACGTTTGTGTAAATGCTATTATCTTTATATGAAATTTCATAATTACACTTATACTGTCTTTGAAAAAAATTGTTAAAGTGTGATGCTGAATGTATTGGCAAGCAAAGTGTACTTTAACATTATTTATACTGAAACTTGAATGTCAAGTATTTAAATATATTTGTAATTACACATTTGTAATGATGAAGTTGCAATTTAGTACATTTAAGATATATTAACTTTAAATGTTATGTTGAATAACACTACAGTTAAAAAATAATCAAGTACTTTACACGTGCTTTAGAATGTTAGTCAACACATAAAAATAAGTGTAGTTTACTAAAGCAATAAGCCCCAAGAAGCTGTGCTTTACAGTGAATTTATAACAGCTAAGGGCCGTTGTTAGACACGACGCGAAGCGGTTAGCTGTTATAAATTCACTGTAAACCACGGCTTCACGGGGCTTATTGCTTTTATAAAACGGTTATTCCATATACGTAGTACGATTTCACAAAATAAAACAGAGCAAATAAAGTGTAATGATATTAACAAAAACAGTATTCTTCCACCAAACAATGTAGTTCCTCAGAAACAGTTGTGGTTGCAACAAAGTGGTTGCCGAGCAACACACAAACGTAAACAAAGGTGTATGTTTGTAGAGTAATTTACAACAGCTTCGAACGTGGCTCAGCCAATCAGAATCAAGGACTGGAACTCTCCGTTTTATAATTTAAAACACAACAAGCAAATATTAAAAGAATGATTTAAAATGTACTTTTTAAAGTAAAACTTTGACATTACAAAATGAACTTATGTATTTAAGTGTTAAACATGAGTGTCTCTCTTTCAGTTATTCTAACTGCAAGTATTTTTAGTTATACTTTTAAGATCTGAAGTACACTACAAGTCCACATTCATTACAATTAAAGGGATAGTTCACCCAAAAATGAACATTCTGTCATCATTTACTCACCCTCAAGTTGCTCCAAACCTGTATGAGTTCCTTTCTTCTGTTGAACACAAAAGAGAATATTTTGAAGAATTTTGGTAACAAAACAGATGACGGTAGCCATTGACTTCCATAGTATGACAAAAAAATACTATGGAAGGCAATGGCTATCAGCCGTTGTTACCAACATTCTTGAAAATAGCCTCTTTTGTGAAGCTCATGCAGGTTTGGAACAACACGAGGGTGAGGATATGATGACTTTCCCTTTAAGTGCACTTTTCATCAAATTTTGTCTAAAATCTGGTTCAAGTCCAGATTAAAGCTTTTTAAATAGTACTTTTCAGCAATAACATCAAAACACTCTTAAGCAGGACTTGTATAACTTGTGCATAATAGTCTTTGTTATCTAGACTTCACTTACAGCAAGTTAATGTATCGCAAGAGCAAAAATGCATTCTGAGGAAAAGTGTACTATCTGAAACTGTTAACTGCAAATGTTATCTTATAATTGAACGTATCCTGTTTGCTAAATAGGTCTCTGCTTCACAAAGCAGCAGTGCATGTCTGTCAGTAGGAGCACAATTAATCACATACTAGCTTCTTAAAGGCACAACGGCCAATTGAATGAATCTAGACCAAAGCAATTGTTTACATGTGTTATTTCTGTTATCAGTGCATTTTATGTGTGCAGGTGCTATTATTAGGCACCAGACTGTTAGAAAGACTTGTTCTCAGGGTGTTTTCCCTTTCGCAAGTCTGCCAGTTGTGCCACACAGCAAGTGTGCTAGTTGGGACAGAGCCATTGAGTGCTGCAGTAATGACTTATATTTGTAGTTTGTATCATCCTGGTTCCCTCAACAAAAACCCAAAAATGATTTTTTTCATTCGATTTTGGATTATTGCAGATAATAAGCTCTGTGACCAACACACATTTATGATTCTTATACATTTTGTTCATCATGATAATCCTAACAAATTAACGCAACTTTTATGAATTTTGAAGACTAAATACAATCAGCAGAAGTAAAACAAAAAGGTAAACGTAGGCTATAAACAAACTACACCATGGTCACCACAAAGGACAATCTCATTTTTATTCATAGCTATAAAATGTTGATGAATGTGCATTTGCTAAATTAGCAGTTGAATTGTATCAGAGATGACCTGCACCTCCCATCATTCACTGCTGCTGTATATTTTGAGGGCATTGTTTCTCTGGCATACAGGCCTGATTCTGCCCATTCTTCATGCTAAATCTGAAGCACGATCTCTGTTGAAGGAAACCCATTCCAGCTGATATTTATATCCACTTGTTAGCAGCATTGTTCACGAACCTAACAAGATGTTTGTGTGAAGTATATATAACTCACTGATGCATTCAGACAAGCTCTTTGGAGGGAAAGAACCCTAATGACTTAATGAACAGCTGCCAACTACTGATTGCTAAGAAATGTGTTTATTATGTTGCCTAGCAATGCAACATGTCTTAAAGGAATAGTTCACCCAAAAGTAAAAAGTTGCTTAGAATTTACTCACCCTCAGTCCATCCAAGATGTAGGTGAGTTTGTTTCTTTATCGGAACAGATTTGGAGAAATGTATCATTACATCACTTGCTCATCAATGGATCCTCTGCAGTGAATGGGTGCCGTCAGAATGAGAGTCCAAACAGCTGATAAAAACATCACAATAATCCACAAGTAATCCACACCACTCCAGTCCATCAGTTAATGTTTTGTGAAATGAAAAGCTGCGTGTTTGTAAGAAACAAATCTGTCATTAAGTCATAGACCTGACTGGAGTCATGTGAAGTAGTCTTGTGGATTATTGGGATGTTTTTATCAGCTGTTTGGACTCTCATTCTGACGGCACCCATTCACTGCATAGGTCGCAGAAATATAAAAATGAAAAAAAATAAAAGCACTGTTGTGAATGTCAATAAAGTGTCATAACTGTTGGAGTTGGAGTTGGAGTTGGACCAAGGCCCTAAAATCTGGTTGATAAATATTCCAGGATCCCTGATGATGTTCCAGGATGAACAAGGATGATGATCATGGGACTACTATAGGGAAATTCTGTCACTGGTTTAAGGTTTAAGGCTGTTTGATAGGAATGTTCTTCCAGGTCCAACAAAGGATGTTGATTCAGAAACATGTTACTCTTGGATAAATCAAAGATGTCATAATCTCTCTCTCTCTCTCTCTCTCTCTCTCTCTCACTCACTGCAGACACTTTTGACCCCAACCTTCCTGAAGAGGGTCCGTCTGCTCCACCTCCAGGCTGGCTGGACAGTGTAACAGGCTACGAGGAACACACGGGCGGAGGTGAAAAACCTTTGTGCCTACCATTCATAATGGCATTAATAATACTAATATTATTATTAAGATAACATTTTTATAATAAAACACAATTATATACACTAAGGCACAACAATAATTTTAATAATAACATAATATTGTTATTAAGATATTATTATTATACAATATTATATACAGTAAGGCACTATAATAATAATAATAATAAACATTTTCTTATTGTTGTTGTGCTATTCTTGTAATAATAAACGATTATATACATTAAGACATATTAATAATAATAATATTTAACAATATAAAAAATAATAATAATAGCAATATTTAATTATTTAATAAAATACAATATTATTATTATAATTACTCTTATTATTATTAAGACACTGTTAATATAATAATACACTATTATTTACCCTAAAGCACTATCATAAGAAAAATAATAATTTATTATAAATATATATTATTATAAATATATTATTTTATAAGACACAATTATTATTATACACTGTTATATACAGTATCTTTATATTATTATTATTGTTGTTGTTGTTGTATAATGGCCATTTAGTTGTTGTGTGAAAATGCAGAAATAATTAAAAATTGCTTTTGCATACCGGTTATAGGATGCTTAAAAATATCAGTATTAATTAATAAAAGAATATTTAACATCTTGTAAAATCATGTAAATATAGTATGCTGTATATGACCTTATATCACCGTTATGTCTTGAATGCCTATTTTTATTTTTTTTCTTCATTTGACATTCTTGTTGTTCTTGTTCATAGACGGTACAGACCAAATCTGTCCTCCTCCGCCAGACTTTGTCCCTAAGCCTGAAAATGACAAGAATGCCTCAGTTCCAAATGTCATGTAGGTACAATATCGTTTTTCATTTTTTGTAGGAAGTTACAAACATAAAAACATATTCATACTACATTTGATGTGAAAAGAACATCATTATTTTTTTATACTGAACAATGCATATAGATTTATGTATTTGCACACTTACTGACAGGGTGCCCACTGTCTCAGAGGATGTTGCAAGAGATGCTCTACTCCAGTTTGTGGGTAAAAAATGGACGTACAGCAGCAAACCTGCAAAAAATCTGATCTTCAAAGAGCTGAAGCCTTTTACAGTTTACCGTGTAAATCTTGTTATTATCCATTCTTGATCTGGAATGATTTCTGTATTATTATTACATATTATAATAATTACATGACCATATGTTCTGTATCATTTCAGTACCGCTTGGAAACATTCACAGAGTCCAGATCAAGCGCCTGGGAATCAGAGCCGCACACAGGTGCCCGATGACACCAGTACAATGATATGAATCATAAAAAAAAGCCAAAACAGCATATTAATATATTTTTTCAGGTCAGTGTGTGGATGGGCCTCAGAATGGAGTGAGTCCTCCACCGTGGAACGTTCAGGTGTCTTACCCACCCAAATTCACCAATGCCGTTCAGAAAATAAGGGTCCCGCACTCGTCATTCATAAAGGTATGCCTTTAAGCAACAAAAAATCCATCAAATTTACCATTAAAACCAACTCAAAGTGTATTTTACCTAATGTGCGTCCTGCTCTTAATTTATCACCGTAAGTCAGACTTTTGCTCATGTTTTGATGCCTGTCGGATTGCATCAGTGCATTGTCATTGCAGCCTTGCCACCGTTGTCATGGTAACGGCAAAGTGAGGTGTACCCACTGCCGAGGACGAGGACTGGTACGGTAATTTTAATTATTAATAATATCTGCCAATGTTTTATTCTACTGACTGTTTTCTCCAAAACAAATTCAGACTCGCTGTATGTTCTGTCATGGCTCTGGTCACAGTCGCAACCGACGGTGTACAACCTGCCACGGAAGAGGGAGAAAAAGGTAATTTGAAGGTTAAACTGACCGACAGTGTGGTCTAATGTGTTTTTATATGCTCACATGAAAATAAAAATATCTCACCTCCTTCTTTCAGGTGTGTTTCTTGTCATGGAAAGGGTTACAAAGGCTGTCTCACGTGTAACGGTTACAGAAACCTTGTGCATTTCATACAGCTCACAGTTACATGGTAAATGTGCCAGTAAAATTTCATTTTATGTGGTTTTTAATGCTTTTTTTTTTAGGTGTGAGGTAAGCTACTGAAATGTTACACACTATGGTAGATGCATCAGTTCGTAATTAGTTCTTATGATCTCAGTTCCTGTTTTAGTTACTGTTTTGGTCTGCACAATAATCTGTCCTGTTCATATTGTCATCTGTCCTGTTGATATATTGTATTTATGTGGTTATCTGTGTATAACACTACATTGTTTCACAGGAAGAACCAGGTGTTTGAGTTTATAACCAACCAGGTGCCTGAATTCCCGCTGAAGAAGTTTGAGAAGGTGTCTGGGGAAGCATTCTTTGTAGATGAAAACCTCCTGGTATACATTGATTCATTAATTAACTGATAAATTAATTTTAATTCAGACATTTAAATAGGCCTATACATTATTTTACTTATTCATGTACAGGAGATGTAGAGTTAACCCTTCTCAGACCCAGTGACTCAGATATGTTACATTGATGTAACAAGTTGATATTTTATGAAATTCCTTAATGTTAAGAGAACAAATTAATCACAAAATGTCAACATGATAACATACTTCGACTGTTCGCTGTAAGTAATGTCAATTTACCGCAGTTTACATGTAAAACATGAATAAACATAATGGATTTACACATGACTGCCGCCAGCAGGACCGATGTCTGAAGCACGTGTGAAACAACTCCAATCCCATTGGCCCAGGTAGCCCATGACGTCACAGGCGGGTGCCCGGAAGTATAAGTGGGCACCTGCCGAACACGTCACCAACTTGGATGTGTGAAGGAGACGTGAAAACAGGCAAGCCTTAGGCATGGCGAGGGGACGCAGCATCTCATTCCCTCTCGGGGAACCATGGTTACATGCGTAACCCGAGACGTTCCCCTTCTAGGGAACTCGTGCTGCATCCTCTAGCCGACACTATGGGGAACGGAATGCCCACTAAGCCATGCCACGGCGCATGCCTGTTCATCTGGTGAGAGAGCACCAAGGGAAGCTACAGTCCACCCCTACTACCTGACTAAACTTAAGGGATAAAGGAAGTAGACCATCTATTTAAAAATCCAAAGGGGAGACAGCTAGAAGAGGCTCAGGGAACTGCCTACTTGAAAAACCCCGATAAGAGGGGCAGCCCGACCACAGAGTACTTGAAAAAGCCTACATCACAAGGGAGAGACCGGACCTTCAGTCAGTGGTTTGCCAACAAGAGAAACACATGAGAACAAGAGAAACACATGAGAACAACATTAGTCCAACCGCAAAGCCTGATGTAAGCAGTGTCTTAGCGTTCGCCTGCCTCTGCGCTCAACTCCTAGAGAGAGGAGGGGCGCGAGTGGCCACGCTAGTCTTCTGATCCTGTCTATGATCCTCAGATTGAGACGGACCAGCCCCCTCAAGAGATTTTAGAGGAAGACTTTGGACGGCAGGGAATGAACTTCCTGTAAGGCAGCGGACCGCGCCTTCATCTCCCTGAACTTCTCAACCACCGCCTCAGTGAAAGTGCCGAAAAGCCCGGAAGGCGACAGCAGAGCATCAAGATGAAAGGCTTTCACCTCTCTCTCAAGATCCGTGAGATTTAACCAAAAATGCACCTCCGTAACCACCATTGCTTAGTGGTGTGAAGAGCCAAGTCTGTGGTGTGGCGCAGTTCCTCGACTGCCCCAGGGGAAAAACCCTGCCCTCATCTATGTCTCTGAGTAAGTCAACTTGGTAAGCTTGTAACACAACCATTGTGTGCAAGGCTCCACCAGCTTGACCTGCCGCCACATACACCCTGCCATCCAGATGCTCCCTGAAGAGGTCTGGATGGCAGAGCAGTCTTTAAAGAAGACGACTCACCCTGGGAGAGAACGCTTGTGAGCGTCCTCTCCACAGGGGCATCTTTGTGTATCAGCTCAGCCACACACTCAACATCAGCGTAATCCGCATGCTGAAAAAGATGCAGCTGAGCTGAATATGGCTTGTCCCATGATCTCACTAACTCCGTGTGGAGACCAAGAAAAAAGGGAAGACATGGGAGTTCATGACCGGCCAGAAAGCATTCGTCTAATCTGCCATGGGCTGGCTTCTACCTTTCGCGTGAACAGACTAAATCGAGCCTCTTAGTAGCGCATGCCATTACGTCCAACATACCCCATATGCGGAACTGGAGCTAGGAGAAGAGATTCAATTCTCACACTCTCATCTCCATTGCCAATCACTTTCACCAGATGATCCCAATGTAGCGTTATCCGCAGGATCAGATGACCAAAGAGAAAAGTATCTGGATCCCGCCGAGCGCCTTGAGAGCCGGACATGCTCGTACGAACCATGGGTAGTAGGCGCTCAATTCTCATTCCTCAAAAGAGCATCAAGTATACAAGTGCATTAAGCTCCCCTGAGAGCCAAACATGCTCTGTTCTAACTCTAGATTCCCTCAAGAATCAGGCGAGAACAGAAATTGCCGCAAACGCATTGCATTGAGTCTGTTCGACTCCCTTGAGAGGCGAGCGCACTCATGTAAATGCTGTCTACAATCTTGAGTAAAAGGCAATGCTTTACCTCTGCTCTCAGTAGCCCCACGAATGCATCACCATGAGCTCATCCCACTGTCAAACGCACGTTCACGCTTATCCACGCCCTTCTCAAACCTCTCTGCAGCGAACCCCACGATCTGAGTCTACGCTGTATCTCGGCAGCAGCGGGACCCGAACCGTGAGACGCAGATGCTTGTCCATGATCCCTCGAGAAGAGGGACAAACACGAACTGAGCTTTCTCATTTGAAACTTGTCACAATGAGTGCATTCAGAGCCCTCGAGCACCGAACGCGCGTGTTCCTCACCAAGACACATAACAGTGTCCTCAGGTGTCAGAAACCTAGCACACGGAGGCACACACTTTCTAAAATGCTCACTTGCCTCAGTTTTCTCAGTCTACGTGGGCCAATGGAATTGGAGTGCTTCAGAAAACTGCTGGTGGCAATTCTCCATAGTGTCCGCTAGAGGACGCAGTGTGAGTTCCCTAGAAGTGAAACGGAGAGATAAAGCTTGCATCCTGATGCTAAGGCTTGTAATGGTGCCCCTGGCGGCGGTGATGGGATTGCAACGCAAATGCGTCAGAACAAAGAACTTGCAATCCACTCTGACATATTTGTGCTCACATTTTTCCATCCTTTGATTAGGTCACAGGAACTTAGTAAAATAATTTGAAGGCTAAATAAGGTTAATGTCAAAATTCAGAGTATTATTTGAACATGAGGGTTAATGTTCCAAAGCAACTTAGTCCGGTTAGACGCCATTGAATTTAACATGGATGAAACAAGGCTGTGAGAGAGACTAGTGGCTCACACTGCATAAATGTCCTAGATCACATATTGTCACAACTCACAGGTTTCAAAACTGTTTTATAGAGTTTTTGTGTACTGAAATTTTTTTTTTGAAAGACGATTTATCAGCGGAACAATTGGTAGCCTATGTTGCTAAACAACAGTGTAATCCACTGAACACTGCACGTCTTCTATCCCTCACCCTCTTACCATTCCTGTCAAAAATGAAATATGGCGCTATGCTGTCCCTGACTAAGGTCTAAGATCCTTTCTAATCATGTTTGATTTAATAAATTAACCTGACAGTGATTCCAAAATATAACACAGATGTTTTTAGCCTAAGTCACAATGCGTTTTGCCAGGTTTATCCGATAGAGGGCTTTCCTGACCAGGACATCTGCGATGCCTCAAAAGGAGCGATTCAGAATCACCTGCTAAAATATTCTGCTGTGAGCCGCATCCTGCAGCAGGTGAGCAGAAACTGTCCCAGCAGTGTGTGCTACTAAATACACAGCAGAATTAAATTGCAATAAATAAAACATGACTGCAAATGTGAATACAGAGGGTTGTGAGAATGCAATTCCGCATTTGACCACCAGGTAGATGCACCGTCTTGACCAACTTAAAACTTTGAAAACTTGTGTGCATCGGCCTGTTTGTGAATGATGCTTAAAACTTAACATTTCCACATTTATAGGTTAAAATATTAGCAATTTATGATAGTAAATTAATCCGATGATACAGATGACAAATTCTGTAGCTAATATTCAGTGTTACATTGACATGTTCTCATTCTCTTACAGCGTCAAACGATCGAGCTGGTTCCGCTCACTCATGTATATTACGCTTACAGTGGGAAAGACTATGATTACTTTGTCTTTGGGCGAGAAAACAAAGTTCACACTACCAAATACCCTTCTTCCTGTAGCATTTTGTAATTTGTTTTGTGTCTTAACCAATTTTGCAATAATTCATACCTTTTTTCATAAGATGTAAATACAGTATATACAGTGTGTATTTATAATGTAATATGTAGATTAACTGTAAATGTCTATGGAAATGAAGATACTTTCTCGTCATTCTATTCTATTTAAGCATATAACAGCATGTTTTTAACCGACTTTTATTTCTTCATTCTGTATATTAAATATACATATATTAGTATTAAGTATTAAAATTAGTTTGAGTACAGTTCATTTTTGGTTCATTTGTGTCATAAAAGTGCAGTTGATTTGCTACATGTTTACAGATTTTCTTGATAAATTTATATATCATTTGATAATTTGAAAGGATTTTTGTAAATGCCTTTATATTTCTCAGTTTATATACATGTTATATACATACACATGTTAATCCTAACTCACACTATATGGGGTAAGTTGTCACAGTGGGAACCTGCTGTTTAACGAACCTGATTTGAGAACGATCATTTTGAAATCTAAAGTTAATAAAGCTGCAACATTTCTAAAATTGCAACAATGAAAAATATAACATATCGTACAAACATTAAAAAAATTATAATTAATGAATTGAAAAAAAGTTGACAAAATGTGACAAGGTAAATTTGACATGAAACGTTATTATTGAATATTAATGATTATTATGAAAAATGCACACTAGTGTAATTATATTGTGTTCACTTAAAATATTATGATATGACTATATGTTTTTACAGTTTGGATAACATTCACACACACAAAAAAAAAACATTAACATTTACAAGGGTTTGAATTAACATACAAAACCTCTGTTAGAGAAAATGCACGTGTGTAACTGGATTTTTTATATAAAATCGTATTAATACTAAAAAACGGTTTCTGCAGGTCTTAAAAAGTCTTAATTAGCCCTCCCACAAATGAAGGCCTTCAAAAGGTAAGTATAAATTCATAAAGTCTTTAAATGTTGTATGCACTGTAAATAATATCTTCTGTATTGTTTTCTCAATACACATATCTAAACAACCCTAAAACAAGATTATTTGAGATGCAAAATAAAGATATGAAGTCTTGTTTTCTGAAAAATTGATCAAAATTAAGTGAGTTTATACTTAAAACCAGAACAAATATTTCTCAGTGCGGTATGAAAACTTGTTTTCAATTAAAAAGTAGTGAAGATTTTCAAACTGTGTAGTATTGCTATTGTGCTCTCCCTACTCATTTAGAGACCATACTGATGTATTGTGTTCCAGGTGTTCTGACAAATAATGCTACCTATCAGATTATGCTACCAACACTGTAGTTATCCTACTGTAAGGGTAGGCTTAGGGTTGGGGTAGGTGTACATGTTAATAAAGCCTCACACCTTATTAATATCATGCTGGAAGCACGATCTGATAGGTAGCACTTTTCACTATCGAATTATGCTACCATCTGTTTTGTAGCACAAATCGACAGAACACCGGCAATTTAGCTTATACCTTACATTGTGTTTCCTGTTGAAAAAAACAGCATATGCTGGTTAGGTATGTTTTGATGCTGGGATGCTGGTTTAAGCTGGTCCTTTGCTGGTTTATGCTGGTCCTTTGCTGGTTTATGCTGGTCCTTTGCTGGTTTATGCTGGTCCTTTTGCTGGTTTATGCTGGTCATGTGCTGGCAAAGAACCAGCATAAACCAGCAAAAGGACCAGCATAAACCAGCAAAATAACCATCTTAAACCAGCAAAAGAACCAGCTTAAACCAGCAAAAGAACCAGCAAAGGACCAGCTTAAACCAGCAAAAGGACCAGCATAAACCAGCAAAAGAACCAGCTTAAACCAGCAAAAGGAGCAGCATAAACCAGCAAAGGACCAGCAAATAACCATCTTAAACCAGCAAAAGGACCAGCATAAACCAGCAAAAGGACCAGCAAAGGACCACCTTAATCCAGCATCCCAGCGTCAAAACATACCTAACCAGCATATGCTGTTTTTTTCAACAGGGTTGGTCTTAAAGAGTCTTTAAACAGTTTTAAATAGTCTCTAAATATACTGTCCATGTGACAACTAGACCCCATATAGTAAAACAATGGCAGTGCATCGCTTAACTTTCAGCTTGCAGGACAGTAGTTGGGGAACTAATGTTCCCATCAAACTGAGGTTCTCTTCGGCTTCTCGGATGTTTACTGAGCTGTTGGCGGCGGGTAAACAGCACACCTGCTTCAGTAAAACGCACTGGACGGATATGACAGCAGCGAAGCGGCTGCTGCAGGAGGAGTGGCTCAGCTCCGGGCGCATCTTCACTCGACTCACCTCACTGACATCAACGCCACACACTGGAATAAACCCATCAGGAGCGAGGAAAACGACGGGCAAATAACACTCGGTAGGTTTTTAAATGTTGTTTGTGGTTATTCTGTCAAATAAATAACCGTGGTACAGTACTATAGGCTATTGATGGAAGATGTATAGCCTACCAGATACCGTATTCATAAGCCATAATATTTACATAATATGTAGGAGTTCTTAAAAAAACAAACAAAAAAACATGTTTTTACTACGGTACATGATAACTTCTGCCATATTTTTTTTAAATGAAGGCTGCAAAAGTGAAGTTTATATCAGTTGAAAATTTGCTTCTTTTATGTTTTCATAATATGAAAAATAATTTTGATTTTTACAGGTGTGATCGTTTTAAAGGTCTGTTTTGCAGGAAAATACATTGCATTTATGCTTTACCTGGTTGTTTCTGTGACCCCAAACTGAACTGAAGATGTAAAATTATTAACAGAAGACTTTTGAAACGTTATGTTAACATGTAACATTTGTTTAAAGTCAGTTATGAGCTCAGAAAATTGAGAAAAAAACTCGAAGTATACTTCTTGTATTTAAGCTATTAAAAGGGGCACGGGGGTCTCCGAAGACCCCACACAGGGCATGAGGGTTAATCATTTAATACTTTAAGACAATTCAGTCTGAGTATGTTGTTTGTACAGAATATAGTACAGTTTAATACAGTGTAGCCTCACTCTTGTGAACAGGACAGGACGTACATTGAATGTATTTAAATGTTGGACGTCAGTGATGTTCAGTGTCCTCCTGATTCTTTCCTTTTCCTGTTGTGTTGCTCTGATTTGTTTGTTTCCGTCCTTCACATGCTGTAAATGTCCTCACATATATAGGAATATATATATATATATTAGCCTACATGAGAAAAAACAGCGGGAAAATATTTGACAAAAGACCAATCAAAATCAAGTATTCCAGAAAGCCATAACTTCTTGGTTATTTATTTTATTATAATATATACTTTTAAATTATTTTTAGATATTATTTTGAACCTAACCATGTTTTTTTTTTTTTATTAAGTGCAATTGTTTATTATATATATATAAAAAAAAAATATTAATGTTTTTCAATACATTTTTGTTTTTACAAATTGAGTACAAATTTTATTAAAATCTTTTAAATTGTTTTTAGAAATTGCTTTTAATTTAACAATTATATTAGTAAAAGTATCTAATTGATTTTAATTAAAATCAATTTGTTTTTTAAATGTAATTTAATTATTTTTATTATATGAGAAAAAAAAAACTGTGCAAAATATTTGACCAATACATGGGTGACCAATCAGAATCAAGTATTCCAGAAAGCGGTGATTTCTTATAAGACCAGGTTAGGAAGCCAAAGTATAAAGCATATGCAAGTTTTGTGAAGTTGACGGACGCTTTGTCAGATTGGCTTTGATTTGAAGACTGATGGATGGCATTATCAGGATGTGTTGTGATATGGCTGTAAGTTCTTGTCAGAGAGGGTTTATGTTTCACACCCACTCTGAGCACTTGAAAGCGAGAGGAGAGAGAGGAGAAGCTGACAGATTGACTGTGATCTGGTTTTGGGAGGAGTCCTCACATGAGAAAAGCCAGGCGGCGTCTGCGAGGGCTATCTGTGCTGGCCAGCACTGCAGCCGGGCTGCTATTGTTGTTTTATCTGGACTGAGCTTTGTTCTGCTGGTAACAATAACTCTGCTCCATGTGAGCAGTCACACAGTGTGATTGTTCAGCGCAGGACACTTGAAGTTCTACAGTATTAACCAAAGTGAAAAGGATACTTTTCCTTCAGTTGTGCTTTGATTTACCAGTCAAAAGTGCAGATAAACCTACTCATTATATGATAGTAGTAACTTGGGGGAAGGGTAGGATGATTCCAGGTGCCCTGATCAGAGCGGGGGCCCAACGGGGCCTTTTACTATCTGCCCCAAGTCACTCGCTTGTCCCATACATGTCCATTAAAAGTGAAAAACTAACATTTGTTTGTACAACATATTGAAATGATTTGTTTTATTAAATTACTTTTTTTATAAATTAACTATATATAGTTTTTACAAATTGAATGCAAATGTTTTGTTTTATTAAAATGAAAAAAAAAAAAAAATATTTGTAATTATTCTTAGATTTTTTTTTCAGTTTAATTAACAGGTTTTTTTGTTACAAATTGGATGCAGTCATTTTATTCAAATATTTTCTTAATTATTTTTACAATTTAAATGGCAATATGTTTTTTATTTGTCTTTTTACAAATTGAGTGCAATTATTTATCTTATAAAATGTTTTAAATTATTTTTTTAAAGATTTTTTTTTTCAATTATTTATTATATTGAAATGTTTCTTTATATTTATATTAAAATATATGTTTTAAATTACTTATATTAGAAATTATTTTTATTTTAAACTTTTATTAATCTTTTAAAAATTGAGTGCAGTTATTAATTATAATAAAATATTTTATTAACACTAATTTTGTAATACAATACAATGTTTTTCTTTTGTTTATACAGACTGAGTACATATTTTATAAAAATAAATATTGTATTTATTTAATTAATCTTTACATTATTTTCAGTTTAACAACAAATATTTTTCACAAATTGAGTGTGATTTTTATAATTGTATTCAAATATGTATTATTATTATTATTATTACTAAATCAATGGGATGTGTTGAGCTTCTGTTCAACCTGAAATGTATATATTTAATTTTCAGAGGAAGATATGCATTGATGATTGAGGTTTTGGGGTTGGTTTTCTGATCTTGTGCCCAGAGGAGTTCTGTGGGTTTTCAAAAAAATTCTTTCTCTGAGGTTTCACTCAGCAAAATACGTAAAGCAATCAAAGCGTTTGTGGATTCTGGTTTGGTGTGATATCCATCTGACCGGCTGAAGTTTGTGTTAAGGATATCAGATGACATTTTATGGAGTTTAAGGAGAAGTTGTTCACCTTTTTATCCCTTGTGAACAGATGAATCATTTTACTTTTTGGCTCTTGAAAATCTGATATATCAATGTCCTTTGTACTTGCTATGCATATCAACATTTTCTTGGGAATATCCCAATCTTGCACTGGACTGATTTATACTTTCAGATCTGTTTCAGATTATCAGAGCATCTGCATCTGGTTAATGTCTATTTTTCTTGTTATACATTAATTCGAGATCTTTCATCCAGACATGCATTTGTGATTTACTGCCATGTTGCTGATAGTTCTTTATAATAAATAGACAAAGTAGATGTTTTGTGTATGCAGTTTATTGATTCTAATAATTAGAGTTTACCAAAGAGACCAGAGATCTTTGAAATTACACTACTAGTAAAAAGAATATATATATAATATAAGAAAGTAATAAATAAATAAATAAAAATAAACTGACCTACAGTTCATTCTAACTGTCTTTCAAAGGTGTTTAGGCAGTTTGCTGTACGTCATTGAACTTGTTAACCTGGGCAGGTGGATCTTGGGAAGCAAGCTAGAGATGCCAATCAGCCATCATTGTATTCTTGTGTCTGTAAAAGAATTGCTCTCAATGTGCGTGTGTTGGCGAGACAGCAAACAACATCCTCAGTAAATGACTCAATAACCCATTGTGGTGCCTCTCTATTATCTTATTTAATTGGCCCTTCTCTCTATCAGCTCAACAATAGCAATGCTCTGGCAAACACTGTACTTCCTTCCCACAATGCATCTGTTCGAACCTGCTGTCTGGCGCCAACCCCAGGAAGGTCAGAATGAGGCTGGAAGTGGCTCTGTGTGGGCACCCAACCAGCTGTTTCGACAAATAATAGTAACTTCGTCATCATTCAGCCAAACTCAATCTTCAGCCAAGCTAAATTCTGATGTTGTTTCTGCTTACAGAGCCCAAAACAAGCACAGTTATCATTGTACTACCAACTGAGATTCACAATGTGTCGGTCATGAGTCATGTATATATTTGTCTTTCATTGTTTCTGAGTGATTTTGTTGTAATCTGCAGTTATTTATTCTTCCAAAATTGGGATGGAGTGTGTGGAGCTTTGCGGAATAGGGAACAGTCCTAGTCACAAACAAAAAAAGACTCAAGAAAGCTCTTTTGACATTCATGATGAGCAGCACTGAATCTAGACTGGCAATATAATGCTATAAAAAGAAATTAAAGGGGTCATATGACATTGTTAAAAAGAACATTATTTGGTGTATTTGGTGTAATGAAATGTGTTTATGCGGTTTAAGTTTAAAAAAACACATTATTTTCCACATACTGTACATTATTGTTTCTCCTCTATGCCCCGCCTTTCTGAAACACGTCGATTTTTACAAAGCTCATCGGTCTGAAAAAGCGAGGTGTGCTGTGATTGGCTAGCTATCCAGTGCGTTGTGATTGGCCGAATACCTCAAGCATGTGACGGAAATGTTACACCCCTCACCATCCTGTGATGCCGTCTCCCAGCAGGACGAGACTCAGTCCAGCTGCTCTGCTCGTGCACATCGCATCATCGGTTCTCTTTTAGCAGTTCAGTCAATGTACTGTTATGAGTAACTGAATAACTCGGGATATTGGTTTATTTCGCACCAGAGGGAGTGTCAGGCACGTTTATAAACCCAATAACTTAAGTAATTTGTGGATTAGTGCGTACTGGAGACGCGAACCGTTTCAAACAATTCAGTTCGATTTGGTGAACTGGTTCGCTCACGTTTGAATCATCACTGGCAAATTATTTAAATATAAAAAATGTACTTACAGGCTCTGAGTCAGAAGCGCTAGACTGTCCTTGCAAAGTTGGAACTACCCAACTTTATAGAAACAGCCTTTGTGCCACAGACGCATTGTAGCCTACTGGTTCAAGAAACAGTCCTCATCCATCCTCCATAAAATGTGCTGCACACATCTGAATATTTGGGCTGAACTGTTCTGGAACAGTGTTGTAAATACAACTTAACCACTGATTTCTAGTCGTGTCCTCTTTTGGAAGACCAAACAAAGTAGTTTCGCTTTCACAATGAAACACACAGCAACTCCACAACTTGGCAGCGGCGGCAACAATACTACAGCGAGAATAAAAGTTACGCCTTCTTTC